GAGGGTTTGGCGAGGGGGTTACTAAGTTAAAGGGTGTTGCTTGTGGTCATTAGATAGAAATATAGCGCAGCAACGATGGAGTTAGAATGATACGTGTAATATCTGTTGGGCTTTTACTTCTGCAACTGCAGCTACTGTTTTTGGTGGTGGTGGTGGTGGTGGTGGTGGTGGTCATGATGATGATGATGATGATGATGATGATGATGATGATGATGATGATGATGATGATGATGATTCACGATACATTCATTTCAAACTGTCTCTACTTTAGTATACTAGTTTTACTTTTTTGGGGGGAAACATCATGTAAAAGATTCCAAAACTAATCTTTGAAACTGGCATGTTATTTTCATCAGAAATATTGCGATTATCAGTAGTATTCTTTAATATTTTTTTATTTATCTTTATCATCATGACGTTATTATTGTAATTGTGCGTTTTCAGATCGCTACTATAGAATTACAATACTCAATCTGATATTTTTTGCCGTGTTGAGTTACTAAGACCACGAGTTCAAAAATCAAAAGTTCTATTATTTCTATCTAAACCGTGAGATTTGTCGAAGTCATTATTTTGAATTGCAAAGAAATGCATTCGAAAAAGCTTGACATATTTTTACGTCATATTTCTCAAAACTAAGTACTGAGCAGTTAGTTCTTTGTAATTCAAGGGTAGCGGTATGACTATGCAGTTGTAAGCGCTGAAAATGTTTAAATTTGTACCAAACTGAAACATAATAACGATTACTATTATTCTCACCAAAGTCTTCTCCCGTCCCTCTTCCTCCTCCTCCCCCTTCTCCCCAGCTCCTCCCTCCGGCTCCCTCCTCCACCTCCTCCTCCCCCGTGATGTCTGGGTGTTGTGAAAACGGCCGCAGCTTCGTGCACCCTCACACAGGACAGACAGTGTGCTCGTGCCAGTACTCACCCTCCAGCCTACTAACTTACTCACGGGTGGGTGTCGGTGTCGGGGTGGGGATCCCCGATCCGGTGTACCCGGCCACACCCTACTCGGCTCCACAAGGCTACGTCCCGCTCGGCCCAGACCCGTCGGCCTTCTACCCCCCTTTGGTGAGTGTTTTTGTTGATTTTTCGATAACATTTCTCTGTCTGTCTTTCTGTCTCTTTGTCTCTCAGTGTCTCTCTCTCTCTCTCTCTCTCTCTCTCTCTCTCTCTCTCTCTCTCTCTCTCTCTCTCCCTCTCTCTCTCTCTCTCTCCCTCTGGGCTCCTGATTCTTTCT